CCCCCCCCCTCCCCCGTGAGTTAAAAGTAGATAAAAGTAGATTGGTGAGCAGGCAATGAAAACAGGCTCACTGACTCACCGAACGCACGCAGTATACATGACCCCTTTTACCGGTGGAATAACACTCAAATTCTTGCCCACTGGACGCCCATGTCAAGTGGTTCACCAAGATCTGTATTTTGTTTGTTGTTGTTGTTGTTTGTTGTTTGTTGTTTGTTTGGTAAAGTGTTTTACGGCGCTCGCAACTGCATAAGGTCATATGAGCGCGCGGGACACACCTAATATTTTCATTTGGTAGGAAATTTTGAATTTTGTATTTTGTTTACTTCACTGTGCAGGCATGATGTTTACTGTTGCTTACACAACACAGGATTCGCCTTTGAAATTATTTATTACTGAAAAAAAAAGTACCAGTTCGAATGTCCATCTGGCCAAATTAATTTGGAAAGCTTTCAAGCTGGCTTTGTTTAGGCCAAAGAAAAAAATATGCGTGAGCGCTGAGAGCGTTCACACTCTTGATTCTCTCTCCCCCCCCTCTCTCTCTCTCTCTCTCTCTCTCTCTCTCTCTCTCTCTCTCTCTCTCTCTCTCTCTCTCTCTCTTTGTGTGTCTCACTCTTAAATATTTGCCCCCCCCAAAAAAAAAACCCCTAGCCTTTAAAAAAATCCCACTTATCCGCGTACTCACACATACACACAGTGACCACGTTAAAACTTAAAAAACCAAGAACATAAAAAGGTCCAAAACAGCCTCTACAGTAACGATTTGGCAGATAAAAACCCGATACAGTAATTGTTACTGCTGGCCATTTATTCCCTCAACATCTGTGTCAGCGCAAATAAAATCCGGTTCCGGCCGTGGCCAGTGTTGTGATTATGTGATTTTATCTACGTGGTCCTTTTAATGGTATGCAGTCACATCTGGCCGCTGATCAGTGTTGTAAAAAATGTTTCAAGAAATTGGCTGTCACTCTATCTCTGTCGGCTAGTGAACATTTCTGAACGTAGGTTTAGTTGATCCCTCACTCTGTCCTTTTGTAAGTATGTTTTTGTTTGTCAATCCGTTTGTTTGTCTATTTCTCCGAAGTCGAGACCCGAGTCAAGTTTTTTTTGTTTCTCTATGTGACACCTTGGTTCTC